CGGTCGACCGAACGAGCTCGACCGGTCGACCAAAAATGTGCACATTACAAGAACTTGGAATCTATCTCTGGCCGGTCGACCGGTACAACCCCTGCGATCGAACGGAAAGCGGATACATGCCGGATTTATTTCTTGACCTGTTTTGGATTGAGTTTTAATATAAATAGAAACACACGTTTCGGTTTCTTAACCAGAGAATTAGCATTGTTTTGAACAGTTTTGTGAGGGAGATTATTGTGAGGGAGTGAGAGATTGTTAGTTAGGGTTATTTTGAGTATTTGAGGGAGTTGTAATCTATTGTATTTCTCCTTCATATAGTAAAATCTTCGCACCCTCTCCCCGTAGACGTAGGCAACTTGTCGAACCATATAAATCTCTGTGTTTGTGTGATTTTAGCTGTTAATTTTGTGAATTGCACTCATATTTGGTTCTTCTCTCATCGCTCACCGACTTGGTTGGTTTGCGAGCACGCTTCCGCATGGCATACAACAAGTGATATTAGAGCTCAGATTTCCAAATCTAGGGTTTTGCATTGATTGGGGGAAGATTCATTATTTGAAGCTTGGGTCTTGGAGATCTAGGTTTCGGTGGAGATAGCATTACAGAGTTGCCATTGAAGAACTTGCTTTCCTCGTATGGTTAGGAGATCGAGTAGGAATTCTATCTACGGTTCAGTTAGGTAATTTTTTAATTCTATCAAGTACAAATCTTTCTTTATAATTAGAGTTAGTTTGCAATGGGAGAAGAAGTTGGTGAAAGTAGTAAGACGATGACGAGTACAGTTCAGGTTACACTTCAGAATATGAAGATTGGTATTGTGAAGTATGACGATAAAATCAACTTTAGTTTGTGGATGAGCGATGTGCATGATGCTTTGAATGCTCAGAACTTAGAGAAGACTATCATGGTCCATGAAAGGCTACCGAAGCATGATTAGACGGCATGAGACAAGATGAATCAAAACACTTGTTGGGTAATTAGGTATTGTTTAGAACAAGAGTTGAAATACGATGTGATTGGCGTGACATCTGCGATTAAAATGTGAGAGATTCTCAATAACAAATATCTTACGAAGAGTGTTGAGAACCGTTTATACTTGCTGCGAAGATTGTTCAAATTCCAGATGTCCAGGGGTACCTCACTTGCAGATTATGTGAACTACACAAAATTATTGTTGGATTTGGCGAACGTTAATGAGAAGATAACGTATGAGTACAATATGATTATTTTGTTAGGCTCCTTACCCGATGAGGAGTATGATTTCTTCATGCTCACTTTGTTGAACGGTAGATCTTCCATCACATATAGTAAAGTGACTAATGCGTTGATGAATTACGATCTGAGGAGGAAGGACAAAGAGATTTCCAGAGCTAGCATTTCAGGAGTGGTATTGTCGAAGAGAGGAATGAGTTCCTATCCGAGATGTGACAATAAAAGCAGGTCAAAATCTAAAGACCACTACCAATTAGCAAAGAACCAGTGTGCTTTCTGTAAAGAACAAGGACATTAGAAAAAAGATTACCCGAAGCTCAGAGAGAAGGAGAATAGCAAGAAGAAGGGCCCAAAGACCAATGAGGTGAATATCGTTAGAGGTGATGATTCAGATGATTCCTGCTTTTCTCTATTGATTACTCCAGAGGTGAACTATGCGGATGCATCAGATTGAATGTTAGATTCTGGTGCTACTTATTATGTGACCTCCCGACGAGATTGGTTTACATCTTTCGAGAAACTCGATGGAGGCTTGGTAATCATGAGAAATGATCAATCCTGTGGCATTTGTGGGATAGGTATCGTCAGGATTCGGATGCACGATGAAGTTGTTCGAGAGCTGAGAGCTGAATGAAGTGAGATTTGTTTCTCAGTTGAAGAAGAATATTATTTCTGTTAGAGCTTTGGAGGTAAAGAGTTTCAAGGTTAATTTTAAAAACACTGTAGCAAAAGTTACTAAGGGATCTTTGATAGTGATAAAAGGAGTCCGCAATAATAATCTTTATTATTTAAAGGGGAGCATCGAGATTGGCCAGGTAGCTTAAGCTGTTTCAGAGGCGAACATGAGCAGACTTTGACGGTACAGATTGGGGCACACAGGTAAAAAATCATTACAAACTTTGTACAAGCAGAGGCTATTGAAGGGAGCAAAGTGTGGGAAGATAGAATTCTGTGAGCACTACGTTCTTGGTAAGAAGACAGGTAGAGTTCGGGATAGACGTACACAGGACGACAAGCATCTTAGACTACGTGCACACGAATGTTTGGGGTCCTACCATGATGCCAGATGGCATCACTTGGTGGTTGATATTGGTTCGTCACGTTTGTGGATGACTATTCTAGACGTTGTTGGGTGTATATCATGAAGTATAAGAATGAAGTCCTAGAGTTATTTGTAGAGTGGAAGAGGAGATTAGAATTATAGACTGGGAGAAAGATTAAGACGTTAAAATCTGATAACTACGACGAGTACACTTCGGACGCTTTTCAACAGAAAAGTCCAGATGAGGATATAAAGAGATACTTCACAGTTAGTCATATGCCGTAGCAGAATGTGAGTGACAAAGAGATTGAATCAGTCTTTACTGGAGAAGGTCCGATGTTTGTTATCACAAAGTGGTTTGGAGAAGATCTTTTAAGCTAAGACACTTACATATGCGAGTCACATCATTAATAGGCTGTCTTCATCTGCGATTGAGGGAAAAACCCCTATGAAGATGTAGTCAGGAGAGCTAGTACGCGATTATAAATAGTTTAAGGTATTTGGATGCCCTGTATTTTATCATATCAGAATTGATAAGTTAGAATCTCGAGCTAGAAATATCATATTTGTTGGATTCAAGCGTGACGTTAAATGATACAAGGTTTGGGATCCAATTAAGAAGAAGATTGTGCTGAGTAGAGACGTCACTTTTGATGAGGCTTCGATCTTGAAGTTTCTCAGCTCTCATCAGGTGGAGAGTACCCCGACAGAGGAGATATCGTAGATGGTGAAGATTGATACAGTTCCACAGTGTCCAGATAGGATCGTATCCATTAGAGTACCGACTGAGGTAACACCGGGAGAGCACAACGATGATTTGGAGGATACAGGTTTAGCAGAGCAGAATCAGAGATCGACGGCTCAGGTTTAAAATTTGATTACGGTTCGAAGACCCAAGAGAGACATATGGTTATCAGCTAGGTATACGAATACAATCATTGCTTATGCACTTTCGGTGGAGAGTATCGATGAGATGGTTCTTACTATATTCAGAGAGGCCGAGCAGAGTTTAGAGTCTGATTTGTGGTAGGAAGCTATGCGGGAGGAGATAGAATCTCTTCAGAAGAACGACATATGGGAGCTTGTTGAGTTTTCAAAGGGACGAAAGGCTATTGGTTGTAAATGGGTGTATACGAAGGAGGATATTGAAAATATTCCGGTGAGGTTCAAAGCTAGGTTGGTAGCGAAAAGCTATGTACAGAAAGAAGATATTGATTATAATGACGTTTTTTCTCCGGTGGTGAAACATTCTTCGATTCAGATCTTGCTAGTTTTGGTGGCACAGTATGGTTTGGAATTGGATTGGATCAATTAGATGTGAAAGCGATATTTCTTCATGGTGATCTTAATGAGGAAATCTATATGGCTCAGCCATTAGGGTTTCAAGCTACATGGAAGGAGAAATTGGTTTACAGATTGAAGAAATCGTTGCAGTGAAGGATCTTGATGTTTCGTAGCGATTCGTCACCATTTATTATGATTGTATGAGTGCTATTTATTTGGCAAAGAATCAGGTCTTTCATGTGAGGACGAAGCATATCGACGTTCGTTATCACTTCGTTAAAGATGTTCTTGAAGATATGGACGTGGAGCTCGTGAAGGTCTACACAAAAGATAATCCAGCGGATATACACAAAGGTGATCCTGAACAACAAGTTTGATCATTGTAAAAGCTTGTTGCAAATTCGTGATTGTTAAGACCGTTTGCGGCCATTTGGATGAACTACAAGCGACTTGATCCTTTGAAGAGGGGGTATGTAGGCAACCTCATTGGTGCAGCCGGATTTGGTGAGATGACTCATTGGTGCTTATGTTGGTGTCGGCTCAGTTTTGGGTACACTTCACCGAGGTGGAGAATTATAGAAAACACGTCAAAAATAGAAAATTTGAAGCTAGGAAGAGACTACAAGTTTCTATCGGGTCGGTCGACCGACGACATAGGCCCGGTCGACTAACAACCTTTTGGATTACATCATCTGAAACCCTGTCTCTTGTCGGTCGACTGAATGAGTTCGATTGGTTGACCGAAAATGTGCACATTACAGGAACTTGGAATCTGTCTTGGCCGGTCGACCGGTGCAACCCTTGCGGTCGACCGAAAAGCGGATATGGGCCGGATTAATTTCGTGGTCTGTTTTGGATTGGGTTTTGAAATAAATAGAAACACATGTTTTATGGTTTCTTAACCAGAGAATTAGCATTGTTTTGAGCAGTTTTGTGAGGGAGATTATTGTGAGGGAGTGAGAGATTGTTGGTTAGGGTTATTTTGAGTGTTTGAAAGAGTTGTAACCCATTGTATTTTTCTCCATATAGTGAAATCTCCCCATCCTCTCCCCGTGGACGTAGGCAACTTGCCTAACCACGTAAATCTGTATGTTTGTATGATTTTGGCTGTTAATTTTGTGAATTGCACTCGTGTTTGGGTCTTCTCTCATCGCTCACTGACTCGGTAGGTTTGCGAGAACGCTTCCGCACGACGCGTAACAAACAATTCCACGGAATTAACTTGCATCCAAAGAGTTACCCTCCATGGATTTTTCGCCAAAGTAATGAAATCTGCTAGTCCATCGTATGGTGATAGTGCTTATAGTCCATATTAGGCTTTAAGAAATACCAGAGTGCTGCTGTGACTAGAGAAATTTAATAACGTACCAGAGTATTCCAGCGACACATAAAAATAGGTGAACAGTATCACCATATAGATTATCAGCAACTATAATGATAAAATAATATTTTGGAAAATCACCTTTTCCATAGCTTTCCCGCATACCATATGTCCAGGAAACATTCTAAACCATGTGCCATTAGGTAACGAGCCTTTGCTTCATCTTGCACAGCACGAATTCTTCTAGCGGGTTCATCCCTCAATCCTGGACTTCCAGATACTATAATTGCTGCATCAATCTTCAAAATTACCACATTCTTTGCGTCAGTTTTGAAAAAATCCATAGAATATAAACTGGTGCAGACAATATACCTTCTCACTGTACTTCAGGGCCATGTATAATGCAATCCTCGCACCCATTGAATATCCCACAAGAATCACTCGTTCACTGGTCAAATTACAGATTAATTTCATCAAGCCATCTGCAACTGATTCCACCGAGATGTCATATCCTTTCTCTGGTTTCTTATTCATACGCCAGTAAGCCAGTGAATGTCCATGGCCTGGAAGATCAATTGAAAGGCATCGAGCGGTAGCCGACATAGCCTTCATTACTGGAATCCAGTCTTGACTTGTACCAAGAAAACCATGAAGAAAGACAACTATATTGCTCTACAACAAAAGGTCTCAATCAGACTGTTACAATGCATACTAAAAAGTATCAGGTTGATACCACTGCATCTTGAAATAGAAGCTTCTTTATCCTCCTCCACACAAACTAATAAAATCAACTACATATTTTATCCAGAAGACATTTTTGATAAACCAAATGGTTGACAGGAATATTTTGTAACTTTGAGATCAGGAAGGAAAGTGGGAAAACTGAACACTTGTTAGCCTACAATAAACTGAAAATGATTTGAGCAGGAAACCAATCACATTAAAAAAATGAAATAAATCTGGAGCAATTAATAATCAGTGATATAACATTCGCTTGCTAGAAATAAGTGGCATATTTTATGTTACTAGGTACAAAAAATATTACTTACATGCAACAAAAGTATTATCATTTAATATGACAAGAAAAGAATAATGCAATACCAACCTAAAGGTTATCTAGGTTTTTTACATAGCATGAAGTGGGCATGAAAGAATGGTGTTCTTTTCATTATTGTTAAGTTGATTTCTCTATATGACTTCTATGCTCAACACGGTTTATGATACATTAAACGAAACATCATCAGGGCTAAATTCTGGAAAATCATAAATACAACATTTTTTTCTCAATATTGTAAGACTGTAAGTTGATTTATCAATACGAGTAACTTTTATGATCAACATGGTTTATGATACATTTGATGAAAAATCAGCAGGGCTAGTTTCTGAATGTTTCTAAATGAAAGATTTTCAAGGCAAGTGCAATATAGAGACGAAGTGTCTAAGAAACTGAAAATGATTCAATTGTTGATCAATTAAATGGAAAAGCTTTTAACCATTTGGACCTTTTCCCAACCAACACAAAATTACTAGTCAGGGCATGTGCAAGAGGAAAGCTTACATCTGTCTCACTTCCACTCTCCAGAAGATTGAATGAATGACTGAACTCCTCATCACAAACAGTAAATTGGCAAGACCTGACTTGTTCTCCTTCATATGTCCTTTCAACTACGCTGTTGTTGAGTTGGAAGTTGCGAAGGAAATTATCAGCATCTTCTATAGAGGCCTCCATGGTATTACTATGTGCAGGAACACAAATTTTGAGCACATCTGTGCTCACATCTTCCTTTAACCATCTATAAGTTCCAAGACCATGGGCTGTAGCTGAGATGACCTCTCTATTCTGCAATTTGCAAATTGCTTCATTTTGCTGCTCTAGTTGGTGCACAAACTGTATGTATGACGACAGGCTTAAACTACTCTCAAATACACTACTGATAATAGGCATTTTCCCACGAGTGTGAGCCCATTTAGCAATGAGTGAAGCATTTTCAAATCCTCCAACCACGCTTGGTTTAATAACCTGGAAGAGAAAGATTGAAATAGATTATATAATCAGAAGCTTACATAGGGAATTCTCATTTTGAAATATCACACGTGTTTGATTTACCACAGCAACTATTCCTGGATGTGCAAACTTATTGAGCTTTTCAAGGGCATTTACTTCAAGGTCATCGGTAGTCTCATCTAATGCTACTGGTAAGCCAGTTTCTTCACAAAACCTGACAATATCATCTTCAAGGCACACGGGTTCCTAGAACATGCATAAAGGAAAATTAGCGTTTGCAAGCAAAATTACAGGGTACAATCATCACAACCGCGAGTAAAAAAACATATTATAGACTCAGAATCATTAAGATATTTCATTAAGTTGATCTTACACTTCCCAATTTGCTCTTTTATGCACTACTGCTTCAATAAGTATCAACATTATAGTAGTTGCTTTTCTCCTTCAATAAGTCAGGTTATACCTAAGTTAGGTGCGCATTAATTTAACCTTAGATTCCTTTGTTATTTTGATAGATAAATAGAAATTGAGAAATTTTTGAAAGAAAAAATATATTATTAAATTAATCATATACTAATTAGATATCTATATATCTACCTGTTCATTTTTTACAAAGCCTGTTTTCTTAAACATACATAGCACATGTAATAAAAACGTAAGTTCATTTATTGCTAACATGGAGTCCCAAGAATATTTATCGCTAACAGAATATACCTCAATATACTGTAGATTACAGTTTTTCACAGATGAGCCAAATCGAATTGCCTGTTCATATGTCCATTTTCGATTTGCATCAGCACGGATATTGACCTGGTATCCAACCATTTTTCTAATTTCCTGGATGATGGAAGCATCTTCTTCAGGATTTTTCCGACGTGCAACCTGTGAGGAAAAGTTGATTCAAAACTATGATCAAGATGGCGGTCATGGAGAAATGATGATCTGCTACTGAAAGACAAGAAGCCAGAACTTTGTGGTTTTATCGAGATTTTTAATGTTCTCTTGAGCCAAAAACTTTTTGATGAAATTTTCTCTGCCATAATTAGCTCAAGTAATTGTCTGCGTTGCATCAGGAATTTATTGGATAACCAAAACAACTTTGGATACAATTCCTCACCTTTAGTTTTATTGTTGTGAAGCCTTCATCAACTAGTTGAGACACAAGATGAGCTACCTCCTTTGGACTACCATTACAATCTACAAGGGCACAGATCGCGATCCCTTCTGAACTTCTAACACTTATGTCATCATTACCTGCCTTAGTATATTGAGAGGAGCAGCCACATCCTGTTATTAGACCTGACAAGCTTGACGCATGTCTTACTGCTAGAGCATTAAGTAAAGCCATCTCCAAGCCACACCTCACACTTGGGAATACAGACTGAGGCTGTAAAATAAATGCTGCTTTAAGTTAACACATTGCAAGTTATAACAACATAGAGAAAGATTTATTGTTTAAAATCTGATAGGACCACCCACTGGTATTCCTAAGCTTCTCCATATCCAGTTAGAGAATGAGCCGTAAGCCAAAGGGAGAATATAATCAAGTTCAACTCCTTCCATTACATGAAATAGAAAACGTAGTTGCTCTTCAGCAGCGGACAAATCCTCTTTGTGAATTTCGACTGGTGCTACCTGTTTGATTATTCATTACTTATGTAACGAACTATATTACAATTCATGAGCCAAACCTAAATTCAAGAAAGTTGATGAAACCTGATTCCAGGTCATGACACTATGATTGAATTTGTGTTTGGGAGGTAGAAAAGAGCTTTTGTACATAATTTATACCAGTTTTCAATTGCCAGAAAGAATAAAAGGAGAGCGACAAGACGAAAATAAAGAAGAAAAAGAAAAAGGAAATAGAGACTAGAAACATTGTAAGTTGACGTTTTCTTTCTCCCTTTTTTTTGGTAACTGGAACTTTGCGGAGATCCTGGCCAGACCTGTAATATTTAATTAGATGGTAGGAATAGCCAAAAATCCATACAAGGAGGGTGTCATGGAGGATTGTTCCTTAGAGGCAAGCTGGCCTTAGTTATTCCATTATAAGTACTCCTCAATACATGATACTCCACACAACATACCAGATGAAAGGTGACCTTCCTAAAACCATTACTGTCAGTGGAGGAGCCGGAAATTTTATCTTTTTTCGTGCTGTTTTTTTTTTTTTTGGGGGGGGGGGTGGGTGTGGTGTTAGCATAAGTGTCATCTTATTTATTTCATAAAAAAGGTAATTAAACCAAAATTTTGTATGTTTCTTCCTTCAAAGATACTCATAATAGAATCCAAATACATAAAGTCATACATACAATAAAAGAAAGAGAACTAGATAAAATACCTCTTAAGAAAGATCTGCCTTGCAACAATATACTGCTATAAAATTGTACTATACACATAATTCACTGAAAAATAGAGATGAGAAAGAAAGATCAAACCTTGAAATGTTCCTCGCTCAATTACAAGAGATTAGAGATGCCAACAAGACCACCTCCTCTTTGTAAGTCATAGTTAAGGCAAGGCAAAATAAAAGGGGACTTATTTGGCTTCTTAATTTGATTTAAAAATGTAACCTTATTACTGCAATCACAAAGCTTCAATGATGACTCAAAAGTTATTTTATTTATAATTAACTCTCTCCATGGTTAAAAGACACCACTATCAAACTACACATCCTACATATAAAAAATAAATTGGGCAAAGGCCTTATTTCTCTCTCTCTCTCTCTCTCTCTGTGGGGGAAAAAGAAACGAAAAAACTGTACATCTTAACAAAAAATATAGTTACAAAAAATCCAGCCCAATTACTTCTAAACACATTGGTCAGTCAAGCCAAATCAGAACAAACAATCTAAAGACAAACTATTTATGAAACATTTGAATCAAGCTCACTAGCTAACAAAGACATCAAATTTTCTCCCACTCTCCAACATGTGTCATATATGTGAATGGAAGTGCAAAACTTTGGGAAGGGCAGCCCCCCAACCACTGATTACTGTTACACTAAAAGTAATCAACATCAACACATTTCCTTTCTGCTACTTCCAATGTTTATTTGAACCAGAATGCCTATTAGAGCTAAGAACTACATCTATTTTCTCATATCATTTTAAATCCCAGAGGATCTAAACTAGGTATCTGATCAACTTCAAATTTATATTTCCGTATAGAAGCCTCTTTAAAATAAATCAGAACTATCTCCATGGGAAACATATAAGAACTCATAAACAAGCGCGTGTTTATTGTATCAGAATGCTATCAAGCTTATCATAATCTTTAATCAAGAAATTTTAGAGAACTAGAAGATTTCACTTATTACAGTACAACTCATCTTACAGTCCTTGTTTGCTTTGATCTTCTTGCGTCATTTTAATAAAATAGGATGTTAAATCGGAGAACATCTAAACTAGTGCGTGCTTGTTGTATCAGAATGCTATCAAGCTTAGTACAATCTTGGGTGAAGAAATTTTAGAGAAGTAGAAGACTTCACATTACTACAGAACAACTCATCTTACAGCCCTTGTTTGTTTTGATCTTCTTGCATTATTTTAATAAAATAGGATAATAAATTGGAGAATGTTTAAACTAGTTTGTGCTTATTGTATCAGTTAATAAAATAGGATGTTCAATCGGAGAGCATTTAATCTCCAAGAGTACACACTATAGCCCTAGACCAGAACAATAAGCTACATCTATCAGTAACTGGAACCCTTTTGAGCATTTTACATTTCAGTGATTCGATTCTACCTAGACGAAGTTGATCTATCGGAAGAAACTTTTTAGAAGATACATATTTGACAAAGACTTGCTCATCAATAACTATAAAGTAAATTCTTGTTAGAACAAACCTCACCAAATCCCACACTTCCGTCATCCAAAGCTATAGCTAATATAAAGCCTTCACGGTAGAATCTGTTGATATCATTTTTAACCTGACTTGAGGTAAGTGGAGCACAAAGTTGGATCCTGCAATAAAATTAGAATGCTTAAAGAATTACAACTTCCATATTTCCCTTCCTAGGAATTCACAGGAATTTTAACAAATTCGTAGATGTACTTGCCTATACAACGAGTATTTCATCTCTCGAACCTTGCAAAGAAATTGGCCCCCACTGGTCTTTTCAGAAAACGGAAACTTTGAAAGGACACGGAGTGCCTGATCTGATGCTTGACTCACAAACTTACTTATGGTTCTGTATTCAAAATGTCAGAGGATTTTGAGTCTATGCAAGCTAAGCCATTTGTCCAGAAATAAAAACCTAAAAGTACAGCCTATGAAATAAAACCTGTGAAATTTAGAATTATCAGCAATGGAACTTTCAACTTCAATTACGATGTCATTCTGATCCTTATGAGCCTTCCACAGAGCACACTGCAGTTCACTTTTTGTTCGGACCAGCAAATGCTTTACACTGCAAGTATTATTTTGTGCATTTATCAGGAAATTTCTTATTTTAAAAAAAATGATATATACATGATCATTTGATTCACTTCAGTCTTTGAAGTTCAGAAATAGATCATATTTGTCTCATTATGCAACTCAGATGGCAATAGTTCCTATGCAGGCTTTAACATCATAAAACTAAGACCTTAAACCAGAAAAGAATCTAGCTGCATTGCTCTAATCTATGGACACAAGCAACCTCAAGGCTACAATGGGAGTTGGTATATGAACCTGGTGAGGAGAATCTGTTTCTAAATAGTACCAGAAGAAGCAATGCACCACCAAACATCAGCCTAGAAGGAGAGTATATCCAGTGAAGTAAAAAATTTTGTCACCAAAGACGGACGATCAAATGAAAAAGAGAAGCGAAAAGGGAAAAAGCATAAATCAGGCCAACATCAAACTGACAGTGACAGGGAGAACGGGGAAACAACATTGCCATGATTCACATTCACTATCAGTGATACAGGGATTACCCACCAAACATTAGCCTAGAAGGAGAGTATATCCAGTGAAGTAAAAAATTTTGTCACCAAAGACGGATGATCAAATGAAAAAGAGAAGCGAAAAGGGAAAAAAGCATAAATCAGGCTAACATCAAACTGACAGTGACAGGGAGAACGGGGAAACAACATTGCCACGATTCACATTCACTGTCAGTGATACAGGGATTACCCCATTTTTCATGGGAGACGGCCGAGAGGACGATTGTGAACCAGATATATAGAAACCCTAGTCCCCATACATATCTGACCCGAAGTGGAACAGTATAGTCTCCAAACTAGTGACGCAGAAGTTATACAAGCTAAAAAAGAAACCATATCTAAAATGAGGAGAATGGATCTAGCAAAATACCAAGTCTGCTAAGGCACATAAGTTGAGATATACTTTAAAAATCATAAATATACCTGTGTGCTGAACATAGATTGCGGACTGAGATGTCATGGGATGTGTAGAAATACTGATTTAACACACTGGTGGGTGTCCTATCTGCAACTGGCAGGAGACTAAAAATTGCACCACCATGATTGTTTACTATGAGTATAGTCATCGGTTTCCTTTTTGACCTAGAATTCAATATACAACAATTAGCATATGAAAGGACAGAAAGAATGGGAAATATGTGGTTCACATGTCAGCCATAATTAAATACTTTCAGTAATAACCTATTAAACCTGAGAAGTTGAAATATGTTTTTTTAAATCAAGAAATTTAGCAAAAAAATCTGAGTTGCTGACAGTGACCATACATCCTTTACAAACATGAAACGAGAACCATGACAGCATACAACATCTAATGTCAAACTATAAGCATAAATAAATTTGAATATATACAATAATCTATTCATTATTTTTTTGGAAAATGTAATACAACTGTCAAGAAGATGACCTCCATAAACAAGACCAAAACTAATGGCTTACATTTAATCAGTTAATCCTACGTCAGATGAAATATGTTAGCAGCAAGGGGTTTTTTGTTCACTAAAGTAACCATGAGTTGCATGATATTTTCTTTTACTCATGCAATGCAATTTCGATGCAACGTTCGCCTCTCCGTCTAAAATTCAAGTTCTTAAATGCATGGAAGCCAAATAAAATCAAGCGTTTGTGAGTAAAGCTTCCTCTGTTCTTCTCAAGATTAAAAGATCATCTATCATACTGGTTTTGATCATCTATCATACAGCTGAGATTCTCCGGGTTTCTTTCTATGCCATTTCTTCTGGATACTTTAATCCATAAGTTGTAAGTTATCTTGGAACTTGGCCAGTATGGATCATTGCATAAGAAAAGCTAAAGAAGACGGCTAAGTCTTCATTATTTTGGCTTCTCATTTGTTAGAGGAGTGGTTGTCGTATATTTTTAGCAGAAGGAAGTTGCTTTGCGATGTCACAAGTAGGGGTCAAAAACAACTGAATCGAATCAAATATTATAATACTTGAATTCAAATCAGGTAGATTTCAAAGATTTGAATTCAAATTCGAATTCGGGTGGAATACCACAGTGATGGCCATATTGATTTGGTATACATATCATCTATTCAGTTATTGTTCACGAATATCCAGCAGCCTACTTGGTCTGGGTCTTTGCTTCCTAAATCACCGGTCGCTGGTACAAGACCTAAGGTTAACTTTCTCCTTCCTTAAATTTGTTTGGTGACTTTTGCGCATACACCCTCACATTTGTACATATTTTGTAAATTCCCCCCCCCCCCCAAAAAAAAAAAAAAACACATTATAATAGTTGAGTTCCCCTCTAAAGTGCTTCTTTCATTCAAGGTTACAACTCAATTAAAATAAATAAACTACTTAGCAAATGTCTAATCTGCCATTTATAATAAATATAAAACATAAAAGAATATTTATGAATCAAGCGAATCAGATATACATTTGGTTAAATTACGAACTAAATACTAAAAACCATTCGTTCATTGTTAAACGAACTATAGAATGGAATATAATTGAATAGCTAGACAAACAATAACCAAACTCTTTGTTAATTATTTGGTTCACTGCCACCCCTAGTTGTAAGTGTTTCTTTCACATAATTAGTTGGTTCAATCCTCATTCTTCATCAGATCTTTTAGCATATACTTGGGGGCTGAGATGTTATATTCATAAGCAGGCATGTATGTAACTATATGAAACCAAGGGTTATCTGCAACTTATGTGTTTCCCTCTTTCTCCTTCATTAATACAGAGTGGGATGACCATGGTGGAGATCAAGGATTTTAATGGGACAGGTGATGACAGGATTTTCAATGGATTTAGAGTTAGGGATTTGAAGAAGAAAAGAGAAGATGATAAACTAAAAAGATTCACACCTTTAATTATTGGATTTTCTTACAATCACACAACAAAGGTCGGTGAAAGAATACAAAAGAAACATCACTTCCAAGAGCTTATTATTTATAAGCAAACACCCATCATCACCTTCACCACGAGAGTGAAAAGACAGACTTAGCTTTCTTTATAATGACAATGTTATTAGATGGAAAATGATAATGTTATCTAAGCTCCCAAAATAATCTGAACCTAAATAGTAAAAAGTGTTCTAATTTTCTGCCAGTGTAAGAACTGAAATGAAAAACAACTACAAAATGCAAGAAAGAAGAGAAGATCAAATAAAATGAAATAAATGATCAGGAGTTGATACCTCTGATTCAAAATTGCTAAGCCATTGGTATCATGCAGGAAAGATACATCACCAATCACACAAAGTACCTGCTCATAGACATTTTCAGAACTATTTTTTTTAAACTCTCATAATAGAAGATCATGCATTACATAGGAAGAAATGAAATGAGAATGTAACTTCGCAGCTAAACTTGAAAGATTATTTCACTACTATATAGCTTATTATTAATATAGATTCCACAAAGGCAGAAAAGTACAATGTCATCCCACTCAACAACAACAACAACAACAAAGCCTCTATCCCAAATGTTTGGAGTCCACTACATGAATCCTATTCTTCAATGTCATCCCACTCACAGTAACAATTTACATTGTGATCAATTAAAAAATCTCCCTCATTTGTTAGATTCAGTGCGATTTAGTGGTGTTGCTGGTTTGGGACTTTTATTGGGGGTTTGGGAGCTTTTTCATGAATTTTTTATTGGTATTGTTGGTTTAGGATGGGATACCGGGGATGTTGCTCTTTCTGCAATTGGTTTGGGATTGTATTGAGGAAGCAATACGATTACAATCTATCTTACCTGGGTACTTCTACTCGGAAGTAGTACCCGTACCCAACACATACTCATATCCATACTCGTATCCAAACCTCTTGGACACTTCTTGAATGTATGTATATGTTTATTCAGGCCTGTACTCAATTATATAATACATGTTCTAATTTAAAACTGTTAAATTAAGTCTATTGGGTAATGAGTTAATGGACTATGACCCGTTAACCATACCCCTATCTGTATGACTATATATATCCCTAACTATCTTAATAAAGTTGATTAATTAGGGTTTTTCTCTCTATTATCTCTTTCTATATGGTATCAGAGAATGAAACCCTAACCCTAGCCGCCGCCACAAATTCTCATCCCAAAACCCTAGCCGTCGCCACCCCTTCTCCTTGTCGCCACCACCGCCACAACTAGACGCTGCCGTTGCCGCCACTGCCGTCGCTGCTGCTGCCGTCGCCGTCGCAACTAAAAGCTTTGTTGTTGATGACATTGTTTGGATTTTATTTGGGAATTTTACTTCTTAGGTATTGGTTTCAGTAGGTTGTCTGAGACTAGGAGTGGGAAGTCTTGGATTAGGACTGGGCTCCTTCCAGTTCTCTAGATCATCTCCCTCCATGCATTCACTCTGTCTCCTGTCTTCAAATTTTCTCTCCCACTTCAACTCCCTGTCGCTAATCGTTGAACTTTTGTGTTAATAATTTACATAAAATTAAGTGCTAATATTTACACAAACTAGAGAGGATATCACAATATCAATTGGAAGTGCAGAGAGAGAAATAAGGAAGCTGCAACAGCGAAAGGTTTGACTAATAAACAATGACATAAAACTGCATGAAGTATAAGTACTAATATTTAACTTTTACAATAAATTGGAATAATGATTTACTACTCAAATAATAGTTGTCGCACTAATACTAATTATGTCATATAATAATTTAATAATACAACAAAGTCTTCAAATCCTAGTCAATCCTAAGTAGTTCAAATTTTCAAAAACACAACTTTTAGATCAAGTCCTCGTCCTAAAACAGCATGAAGAATTAATATTAACTTTAACAACAAATTGGAATAATGATTTACTACTCAAATAATAGTCACCGCATTAATAATAATTATGACATATAATAATTTAATATTACAACAAAGTTTTCAATTACTAGTCCATCGAAATTGGTACAAATTTTCAATAATACGACTTTTAGAACAAGTCCTAGTCCTAGGTGAATTTTTTGGTGCACTCTTGCCTTCACATCTCCAGCTGCAAGAAGTTTATTACTTTGAGATTCATGAAGGAGACAGTTTGGAAAGGGAAAAAATCCCATCACATGTCAAATTTATATTGGTTGTGTGAATTGAAATACAAACCTTCTTGTCGCTTCCTACAGAAAAGCCAACGGCTGTACTGAGCAAACCATCAATACCACTTGCACCCCTATTCCCAGCCACTTGTATGCCGTGAAACTGTAGACAGCTATCATCGATAAGCTGAGAATCATCAGTGCTATGTATCATCCAGCCCCTTCCATACATGTCCATATCTCGAATGATCATACTGTTCCCAATAAATAAAGCGACTTCACCATGAAATGCTTCCCCAATTATGTGTGCAACATGTGGCTCAGTTAACAGGGGTTCAGAGCGGATTAGAAACGATATCTCCTGTGAAACCTATTTTACAAAATATTAAATGATATGAAATAGAACCTCTTTCATATTGGTAATTACAAGCATAATTTAAGATCAAAATGTTAACTGAAAGTAACACAACTGGAGATTGACTTTTAATTAATTGTCTTGGACAGGTCTGCTCTGTCACGTGATTAGTGCTACGTGGGAATAGATAGTGCTTACTGCCACATCCTTATTGTCTCTAGTTAAATAGGTGTCCATCAATTAAATGAGGTGGATTTAACTGAATTTCAAGCCACCAACACAGGGTTAGATAGCTGACAGCTCCAAAAGATAGGTAGAATTTAAGGTCCAATTCCAGCTTAAGTAGATTGCTTACTATATATCATGGAGTTTTTGCATGATGCTAACAGCACTTGCATTATACTACATCAATCAAACGTCACAAACAAAGACTTATTTCGTGGTCTAATCGTTTAATCATTTTTTTGGCAAGAACACAAAAAGTTCAACTAGCCTGGGGCCAACATTTGCAGGATTATCCAACAGCGAAATCTAAGGTGAAATGTTCTTATGGTAATCATAAACCAACATATATTCTTCAAAACTCTTCTCATCAATGTGAGGTCTGTTGAGAAAATATATAAAGGCTGTTAAACTGATATCAACCCTCAATTGTCTAGAGACAACTCTTGGCGGATACAACTATGCAAGAGGGGGACTTGCTTAAATTTTTTCTGTGAATGCATGTAAGCAAACATAGATTACTTTCCATCAAACATATTCATCTATAACACCTAGAAGTTGTATAATTCTAGAGTTATGGATGCGAACGTGTCAGTTGAAACAATCAGCTAATAAGGATCACAACATGTAGATAAATGTTTCTTCAAAATAATCGAGTTAAACTACTATAGCCACATTTGGACTTTCCTTCAATAAATCCATCAGGAACATAACAAACTTCCAACACAAGAGCATCACAAAAAGTTGAGAAAACAGCAGGTAACACTCACCCCATGTGACTAACAAATCCTGAATGTCTAATCATCACATGATCCTGAATGTCTAATCACTGCATGAAATTAAATACCAAGAGCCTAAGGAGTGCAGGTCATTTATATCTCACCAAAGTTTAGTAACTGAGAAACTACAACACACTCACATTAATGACATATGAAAGAGTTAAACCTGTAACAAAGGCTTAATTCGGAAAATAGATATTTACCATCATATTCAATGCTTTGAGAAAAAGACTCCAGTTGCTGGCATTTTTTGATACTTGAACTTTAAGTAAAACATCAGTAAATTCAGTTACTGTACTCTGAACTCTGTGAGTGACAATATAAGAAGGATCATGACGGCATGGATGGCTGTCGACCAAGATGTACGATTGTGGGCAAGAAAACTCAAGGAATTGACCAATGCGTTTGCTTGTAATCTTGCTCCCTATCTGTAGGTTGAGAACATAGAAAAATCAGTAACAATTGTATACAGATGAAAAATGAAAGAGAATACTCATGTATTACCTCCATCATGTACCGGCTCTCTAAAAGTTAATGCAGAGAAACTTTTCAAAGAAGATAAAAAGCTATAACAGAAGGTACAAGCAAAGATTGCATGTTAAATAAACTTTATAAAGGGTATAACTTCACAGTTGCTTGTTCATAATTTCATTAATGAATCATCGGCACCTTAATCTTCGTGTACTAACAAGAAAATAGTAAACAACTACGATGCACATCCTGGAGGAAGGTAGTAGAATTGGGGTAAGTGTAATCTAATATGGTGATTCACTAGACCTTAACAAGACATAGAAGTTATAGTGGCTTCTCTGAAGTTTCTGTCTGCCCTTCATGAAACTGCTCTCACTAGCAACATACTGTTTCTCTCTAAAAATAAAAGAAGCGTTTTATATCATTTTTGACAATACAGTGCGAGCTTGCATGTAAATGAAGTTGCCACTTTGTGTGGTTCAGTATCAAGGTATCTTCTATTCAGCACATTATATTAAAAGATTTTGAACTTTATCCTTGTAACTGCCAAAAGTGTCAAGTATTACAACAGAACAGTTATGCATAGAAGCAGCGCTGCTGTATAGCAAAACCTATGCTGTTCCCTTATTGTACTAAATACATAAACAGAAGTTGTAGATCAAGCAGGCATACCTGAACAACCACATCTGGTTGTGCCCAGTTCTTGACAGAATCTGAAAGAAGAGCATGATCCAGATGATCTATGAAAAGAACATGGTCTTCAATTTCTGAAAATGAACTTAATACTCTGCGTAACCGTAGACCAGAAAGGATATCGGCGACAACTGGCCACAAAAGGTGTTTAGTCAGAAGAAAAGCTGCCCAAATTTCATCTTCTGTGTGAATAGCACCAATTATTAGCAAGCCCTTATTAGCATTTTGTATTATTTGTAAAATCTCCACAACTTCATTGCTATTTTCATGGCATGCAGTTGAACTATGGAAATCAATGTATCTAGTAAAAGGTTCTATATTTGACATCCACGTATCCAATCCACTCAAGCAGGTAGATTTCCATTCTCTTGGATGATCTTCCAATGGCTCTCTAAAGGGACAGTTTATATGCACAGGTCCAAAAGGTGCTTGGGTTGCTCTGTGTGCAGCAGAATCAATTGTTGTAAGGACCATTCGTGCAGGAATCTGATCTGAGGGTGGAGGAAAGTTAAAGAAGAATCTCGTAAATTTGCCAAAATGATTGACCTGTAAAAATAGTCAACGCATAATCAATATGACCATTGTTTGCTGAAAAAAAGAGCAGACAAATCAATGACTATAAGGAATAGTAAGCTCTGAGACGATGAAGACCTCACAATATATTCATTCACTATAAATCAATCTCTAAAAACCATGAACTGGTAAGAAGAAATTCACATTGAACAGTCAAAGAATTATCCATACATTGCAGCCTGAAAGGATTGGTTTCTTAATGTACAGGAACAAATATTAACAGTTTGTTATATTCCCTCTACTTGAGTGGCCTTCAATGTGTTGTGCAGACTCTGTGACATTTCTTTACATAGTGCAAACCTAATGTCTTCACCAATGGTTGACACATGCGATGCACCTCATACGTGCATGAGTGATACAATTGGTTCATTAAAGAATCTTCTCCCAGAGAGATCCGTGTGGTTACCTAAGCAAACCTTGTCATATTCCCTCATTGGCCCTAACTCTACCTTTTGTGGTATTGCATGAACAAACCTTCTTTCAACATTTATGCTTAGATTTTACCATTTGTAGGTAGATAACATATAGGACCCTAGTAACATTAAATCTATGGAACTTTATATACATATAGGACCTTTATATACATATAGTAACATATAGGACCCTAGATAACATATAGGACCCTAGTAACATTAAATCTATGGAACTTTATATACATGATATATTAATAGTATATATATGATAGTATATATATCTTATCCACTATGATGGCTGCTTTTACCTAATACCTCAACATGCTGCATGAGATCAAAGAGGTCGTTCAACATCAAGATTTGTCAATCAAGATTTCACAAAGCCACTTCTGTTCAAGAATTTTCTTCAAAACGATACTCAGAAAGTCAAGATTGTGAAACATGCTTTGGTCAATGTCTTCAAGATACCTTCTGACTTTAGAGTCTGGCACCATAGACCAAACAAGTTTTATGGAAAAGTCTCCAGGTGATGATCATGGAAGATAACTTCACTTGTCCATTGTTGTGTGTGAACCTTATGTATATTTATATGTTTTAAAATTGCTACATGAGATCAAAATTATTTTTTCATTTACATAAGTTATGTTATAAGAAATAGAAGTGAAGTGCAGAATATATGTCCAAGAAGTGTACGAGGAGTATATTAAATTAAAACATGTATTTAATATAATTGAGCATACATTTGAATAAACATACGCATATTTTCAAGAAGTGTCCAAGAAGTTTCAGCACGAGTACGGATACGAGAATGGGTACGGGTTCGGATTAGAAGTACCCAGGTAATGTAGCTATATAGTAATGAGCAAGAAATTGAACAAAACATGAAACGGAAACTTTTGAAACCTGATCAATGGCTTGGTTTGCTCCCGCATCTAGAAGCTCCGGAGGCCGATCAGCTGTCAGTAACATAAGGGGTACAAAGTCATAACTAGCCTCCACAACCTGCAAGATACACTTACAAGATATAATGGACATGATACAATCAGTAATCAAGGTAGAAAACTAATAAGATGAATTATTGGTTGTTAGCTTCTGTGGAATATCTAATCAAGAAAGGTTATGTAATGCAGAAAGTTGGTTCAGTTATGGTACAGCAGAAACAATCAGCAGGGAAAATCAACTATCAATATTCAATCAACTTTAGCATTTCAAGGAGAAAGGGAAATTCAGAGTAATCACAATATATTATATTTATGTGAACCAATGAGAGTGAAATATGAGTTCATATATCTTACTGCAGGGAAGAGATTTGACACAGCAGTCCCTGATGTTGTAATAATAACTGCTGGTTTACGGGATCCTCTTCCATAGCCAACAGCATGAAAAGCAAGTGAGCGTTCATCAAAGCATGATATACAGGTGGTTAGGGGATGACGACATGCAGAAATTGCAAGTGGAGATGATCTCGATCCTGGAGCTATACAGAAATACTAAAATAAACAAATAATTAGAAATACATTCAAATGTTATCATGTCTCTGATATGTGATCCTCACCGTCAGACCAAGTCGAACACATTCTTCAACTATAAGTGAGGCCCACAAAATATTGATATTGGCACTCTGTTTAACTGAGCAACTGATTCCGCAAGGACTAGGAAACTAGGCATAAACAAAAGATAAAATTATTTTCTGAAGGAAACAGATAGTGATTTGGCTTCAAAGTTCAAAACTGCATCTTAAACTCTAAGTGATTCTTCAATGCGTAATAACAGCTTAACAGGATGATATTGTGCCTAAAAACTATGAGAACAAACAAATGCACTATACCTGGGCAGTTTGTATGAGAGCAGTAGCTAGAAACTAGAATAATGATGCTAAGCTTTATTGTCAGAAACATGTAAGTTCTACAACAGGGGGGGTGCATCGCAACGACTTACCATATTAGTTCTAAAAGAAACTGTGGTGGAAGGTCTGAAGTAGGACTCCTTACAAGTTGGAAGTTCTTCCTGCAGTAAAAGAAATAGGGCATAAGGAATTATTGCTTACAAATTACTAACCTAATTATAGAACAGTCTCCACTCAACGAACAGTAGAATGCAATCCAAGAATAAATCAAGCAACAAATTTGAATTAGAGTGGAAACATTCACTAATTGAACTAGAGAATACAAACTGTTATGTCCAGGGATAATTACCAGGATAAAGAGTATACCAGTTGCATACAGTTGCCTCTAGCATCTAACTGAGCAAGAACCTCGGCATTTAAATACACCTGCACAAAGAGAATAGATCAGAGAGATTTGAAAGAACCCTAACCGGACCAAGCATTAAATATTAGCAGCTCAAGACTGAATATTTGCAAAATCCAAAAACAGAACCATGAAATAATAAGTTGCCAAGACCTATGCAAAGTGAATAGCTAAATTATAAGAGATCATCACTGTTATCTAAGCCTTTTACATCTAAATGAAGTAACAAGTCAGAGTCAGAAATCCACCAAAAAAACAAAAACAAAAACGAAAAAGAAGAAGAAGAAGAAGAAGATGTAAAAAGTGTCTATAATTTGCTCTCAGTAAGATGCCAACCGTAAATTAATTGGTACCAAACTCCTGGCGAATGTAAGTAAATCAGCAAGCAAGGAACTGACATGAAAATTTTCAGTGCCAGATGGTAGGTAAGTAGACCTGAACCTTTTAGATATGCAATTTTAGTTCTTAACACTAAGGGGAACCTTCAAAGTTCCTGGGTAAAGAGGTAAGATGACAAGATCTCTACTAGAGATTGACATAATTTCTCTAATGAAAGAATAAAACAACGAACAAATGGAACTGTACCCTAAAGATTAAAGCATACAGGTAAAAGAAAAATGTCAGGTCAAAAATTTCTACTATGTACTATTCATACTCTATGCATAACAATAACAGATAAATATTTTGTATTCTTGCACTTGGTAGTTGATGATATACACCTGCCAGTCTGCCACATCCTTTATACAATTCTTTTGGTAAGGTTGAGGGCTTGTTTATAAATGCATGATAGTAATCCATAGTCCATGCATAGGAATCTAGTCAATACCTAAATTCCTAATACCATTTTCCTAACAGGTTTAGGGATGATGATGTCATTAAATTCAACCTGTCAATTAGCTCCTCATTATTGGTTGATCTTTGAAGAGTCAGCATCATAGGAATTAAATATGGAAAACAGATGTATTATAAACTTCTATAAGCTCAAAATGTCATAAAAGGAAGTCTAGGTGATATATTTCCCTATGGGAAAAAACTCAAATTAATGTGTCGAAACCATCAGAAAAATACCATTTGAAGTCCACTGGAACACAATTCTTCATCTCCGTTAATGCAGTCCATCAATACGTCCTGATTGTTCATATTAACTGCTTGAATATTGTTTACAATCTGCAAAAATAAACTAATGTAAAGTGAAGATTATTATATGGCCATGAGAAACTTGAGATATACATATACATTCACATACATATTTGAGAATTATTAGTACATACATGCAAAGATAAAGACGAGAGAGAGATTTGGATCCAGGAATGATGGTGAATCCAGATTGTTTCCATTTATATCCTATAAGATGTACACCAAATGAATATACAATTTCTTCTAACTGATTCACATCATAATACTGCCTGTAAACAAATAAGATTTTGTATTTTTTCCCCAGGATGGACAAAATGAATGGATAGCAACTGTTTAGAGCCTTAGATTGCTAGAATGTCCAAACCAATCCAAAATCATTCGCAAGGGTAGGATTCAAGTATTGGCTTTGTATGTGCCAAGTCATAGATCTATACAACTAGCTACTTTCCATCGTTCCTTTGTAGCTACTTGATGCATGATGATGTTGTTGTGCGCGGCGCGGAAGCGAGACAACCAAACGGGCGTGCTTTGAGAACCAAATCAAACAAACGTCGAGATAAAGGCTAAACAAATCAAAACAACGGCACAAATCCAAACACAATAGTTTTACGTGGTTCGGCAAATTGCCTATGTCCACGGGGCAAGAAGGGGATTGGGTTTTCACTAATAGAGAAGAAGAGTACAAACTGAGATTACAAAACGCTCAAACCAATCAACTAATCTCACCAACAAATCTCTTAATCTCTCCAAATAAACCCTCAAACAATTGCTCAGAAAAACTCTCCTTTTTCTGTGCTCCAAATATCCCCAAACCAATCTCCAATCCAAGCCAAAAGAAACCCTAATTCGTATGTTAGTATTTATAGCAAACACCAAATCCAAACTGAACAGGAAACTCAAACTGGGCCCTGACCCGATTGGCAGTCGACCGTCCAAAGCTCGCGGTCGACCGCGATCCAGCGACAGAGACCAAAAAGTCCTACAGGGTCTCGCGGTCGACCGCGCCAAGTCCAGGCACAAACCCTGGATCCGTGCACGATCGAGATCGACCGGCCTTACGCCGCGGTCGATCGCGCAGCACCCAAACAGACTCCTGCGCTATCCAAAACCTGTTCTGATCAAAATTCATCGCGATTTCTTCAATTCTCCATCTCGGCGAAGTTTCTATCAAAACTGAGCCGACACCAATCAAGCCAAATGTCTCACTTGCTACGTCCAGTACGAAGTGAAACGATCTACAACAACGGACTCAATACATAACAAGTCGAGACCCAAATGGGAGTGCGAACACTCACCTAAACGTCAATATCTACTCACCAAATCAGCTGCATCATAAAGACTGCCTACGTATCCTCTTGTCCAAGGAATCAAGCTTTCACGTAGTTCATCAAAACGGTCTCCAAAGACCCTCAAACAAATAGAAAAGTCTGCAACTCTTCACCAATATCATTTGCATCCAAATCCAAATGATCCCCAATCTGTGTCACCTCAGCTAGAATCTCAAACGATGCAGTATGATCTGGAGTATGTGGAGTAAACTCCACTCAACGTAGAGTAGCATCACCCTCCACCTGCTGTGATATCCAAATGACCTGATCAACATTCTCTACCTGCCGAGAGTCCAATGTGACATACCTGCTCAGAACAAAATCAGAAGCTCCCAACCGATAATCAAATAAGCCTCTAAATTCCAAACGCGCAATCGGATCAAATCTCACATACTCGATGTGACCAAATGCTGGGTAACCAAATATCCGACGCCAACCAAAATCTGAAGCAGCTCCACCAGATCTAATAACTCCTAATGCAGTAGTCGGCGACCTATGACTAAGATGACCTAAATATATCGAACCTCCAAAACTAGAACTAATGTTCGACAACCAACGCCGATCCCCCTCCAGAAAGGAACAACCCATCGAACCTGTCATCTCATCTCATCGTCCCAATGTTTCCTCTCCAATGAAGTGTCTTAAACTGCCATGAGCTCGGCACAAATGCAGAAATAGGTCCCTCTTGTACCTCCCGCTAAAATCAGAATAAAGTACCTTTACCTTCTGCCAATACACTTCTTCAACTGTTGTTGACTACTAGGACTTCAAAACCAACGGGACTTGGTTACAACCCACAAATACCTAGTACAATCCCCAACATAGAAAACCAAAATACAAATTTACCTTCCAATGATGCCTCCTTGGAAGGCCCCTAAATGCCTAAATGAACACCAAATAGAAGACCCCTCAATCATCAAATAGAAGTACCAAACTCCACCTCGGTCTCTTTGCTCATACCAACGTGCTCAAAGGACTTCAATATGCAGGTCAAGGACACTTCTCAATAATCCAATGCACCGTATCAATAAACAAATAACCCAGCCTCAAATCCTTCTATCTCGGCTAACTATCTCAAAGCACCAACAAATGAAGAATAGATCCAAACTGATTAAGGAGAGAATTTTACCTCCAATTAAAACCCTAACAAGAGTCTCCAAATGATCTCACCCCGCACGACGGCAACGAGATCCACAAATAGGAAAATCTCACCTTTATCTCCAAACGAAGCCCTCGAAGAGCCTCAAAAGCGATCTACTCCTCCAAATAACCCAAGCGCCAACAAACCAATACGGAACAAACGAAGAATATATCCCAACTGAAAAAGATAGTCTTTACCAAAAAGATCTCACCTTTCTCACCAAACGAAGCCCTAGCCGAACTTCTAAATTGATCTACTCCTCCAACCAAGACAAAACCCTAGATCTGGAATCTGGAACTCTGATACCAATTGTTGTGCGTGATACGAAAGCGAGACAACCAAACGGGCATGCTTTGAGAACCAAATCAAACAAACGTCGAGATAAAGACCAAACAAATCAAAACAACGGTACAAATCTAAACACAATAGTTTTACGTGGTTCGGCAAATTGCCTACGTCCACAGGGCAAGAAGGGGATTGAGTTTTCACTAATAGAGAAGAAGAATACAAACTGAGATTACAAAATGCTCAAACCAATCAACTAATCTCACCAACAAATCTCTTAATCTCTCCAAATAAACCCTCAAACAATTGCTCGAAAAAACTCTCTATTTTCTGTGCTCCAAATATCCCCAAACCAATCTCCAATCCAAGCCAAAAGAAACCCTAATTCGTATGTTGGTATTTATAGCAAACACCAAATCCAAACTGAACAGGAAACTCAAATCTCGCGGTCGACCGCGGCGGTCGACCGTGCCAAGTCCAGGCACAAACCCTGGATCCGTGCACGATCGCGGTCGACCGGCCTTGCGCCGCGGTTGACCGCGCAGCACCCAAACAGACTTCTGCGCTATCCAACACCTATTCTGATCAAAATTCATCACGGTTTCTTCAGATGTGGAGTGGGTGAAAATTTTCAGAACCCTTCATTTTCGATAAGTAATAAACCAAAAATCTTCTTAGAAGGGAAACATAAGTGTTTAAAACATTTTGAATATTCAAGTGCTTTCTGACAACAAATGAGATTCAAGCTGGATAATGGATATATGTAGCCTTGCTTAAACCCCCCCCCCCCCCCCCAACCAAAAAAAAAGGAAAAAAATGTTTGGAAGGGAAAGCTGAAGGAGACCCTGATCTCTGGAATTTCTTCACTTCAAAGATGAAGTGGATGTTACAAGGTAGTGATCATGGTTTTCAAATACTTTTAGTTGTAAGAACTTTTATAAACAAGATAGGATGATAACAAAGTACCTACGGGAATCCCAGAGGTAGAGGTCCATGCATGACTAGTTCAGAATGATAAGCTTATGACCACTGTCAGGCTCATGTCAGGAGGCTTCAATAGGACTTCGCACGTCCTCCATGACCAGGGGGTAGCGAGTGGTCTCATATTGAATTAAGTTTAACAAGAAAGAAACTTCCTTCTGTGTTGGGGAGTACGGAGTAGAACGGAGATCGAAGCTGTTAGGACAAAATGGAAGACTTTAGTTTTAGCTCCATGGGAGATTGTCTAAAGCGACGTAACAATAGAAATTTGAGTCATCTCATAACTGCTCCCTTATTGTTTCTTTCTCTACCTTCTGATCAGGGACGAAAGAACATTGACGAAACAATGCAGAGGCATATCAAGGGTCAGATAGAAATTGATTAACTATACGGAAATTGATTAACTATACAGACTAGCTTTCGGGTTTAGGAGTTTCTTGTTCACATTTGGTTTTCATGTCCGGTCAGCCACTGAATTCTGTTAACATGGTACTTATTTATTGGGAGACCTGGACTGGGACTTGGAAGCCAACTTACAACCTATCACTGAAGTTTAAAGAGTACGTAACACCAAATGTCAGCCTTTTTGCGTATGAAAATGGATGACAATTTACAGAACTATTAACGCCTTGCAACAAAGGATTTAAAAAAAAAACTCTACGCACCTGTTGGAAACATTTCTCTACAGATTTAACAGCTTCTCCAAAAGTATAAGCTAAAGAATCATCCCATATTAGATTCAAAGACATGAAAGAACCATTCTCCAATTGATTCAGCTCAACCTGAAAATACCACACAAAATATGACAAAGTGTTCTACAAACGCAAAAGGAAAATGTTTAATCTTAATGAACGGGAGCTCTTTTGTCCAGATTATAACAATAAACTTTTAAAAAACAAGAGTTTTCCGTATGACAATAAAGCAGCAATGATGAATACAAGATGCAGCACATGAGAAGACAGAAATAGAAATAAAAATAGTTCAATTACTAGTTGCAGTATGCATTGATTATTTGATTACACTAGAAAAGCATTACAAATTTAAGTAATAGAGCATGTGATGTAGGACAACTCTAGACAGTGAATGCAACTCTTTATTGCCCTAGAGAACTGTATCTGAGGTTTTTTTTTCACCTAATACATCTGTGTTTTCCCCATGGATCCTTTCCTTCCCGTCCATTAATCCTTCATTTTCTCGACTAACCACCAAAGTACAAATTTAGAATTAAAAGAAAATAAATATTTGTTGTTAGCTTGTAGTAGTCAAATGTAGGCCTAAATGGCTCACTCAACTGTTGCATTACAAGACTTGCTCTTATATGGGAGTAAAGGAACATTTTATGCATCGTGAACAACCTAGTTCAAGAATCATAACAACCACACGCTTATTGCAAGATATAAGTCCATTGAGAATCTGAAGATTATCTAGCGGATGCTTCTCATTTGGATCCACACCCTTTTGAAAGAACCGTTAACCATATGAAGACTTGTCATTCAGAACATTTTGCATCATATTGTTCAGGTTTCTTCATCACGCCCTGATCAGGAAGTATGCCTTTCTAAAAAACTGTTAGTTATCAGTATTTCTTGAGTTTGCATAAATTATAGAGTTCCTTTATTTTATATCCAATGGGGAAAATTCAACATAACTAATGATGGTAAGAAAAAAAAAAGCAACCCCCAAATCCCTGTGCGCCCCAATTTCAGGGTATCACAATCTTGCCAGACTAATTCCATAATACAACATGGAATTCCAGAAGACAACTCTATAGATTTTAAGTATGGCTCCTGAAAATTTTAGAGATGATTCACATGATATCCTTATGTAGAATGACATTTTGCTCCACAAAGCACTTGTTTTCATGTGAAGTGGCATTTTGCTCCATAAAGCACTTGTTTTCATGTGTGAAGTTTTGTTATACATGCTTTCAACTAGTGTTACTGTTAGATTAAGTCTATTGGGTATTGGGTTAATGAGCTGTGACCCGTTAACCATACCCCTATTTGTATGACTATATATATCTTTCTAGTATCTGAATAAATTAATAAATTTAGGGTTTTGCTCCCTCTATTATCTCTTTCTACATGGTATCAGAGCATAAAACCCTAACCGTCACAAATCCTCATTCAAAAACCCTAGCCGCCGCTACCTCTTCTCCTTGCCGACGGCACTACCGCCGCCGCTGCTGCTACAGTACCACCGCCGCTACAGCGCCTCGCTGCTACAGTGCCTCCGCCTGTTTTTTTTTTCCTTTTATTTCATGGCCTTGAATAGGTGATTCGAGGCCACATATGACCCAATCCGGTCATCTATTACTGCATATTTTTTGATCTGTTCTTAGTCTATATTTAAAGAACAGATCTTTACTACTGTCCTAGCTATTTGACTACTACCTGCCTACCACTATTGTGCAACAATGTCGGAAACAGATCTCTCATCCTCTTTTACATCTTCCTCTACTGCTGCTAGTCAGACTTCTACGCCCAAGATAGTCTTGGGGATTATAATAAAATTGAATAGTAAAAACTATCTGCTTTGGCTCAGGCTTTCCGCATTTTCATTGGCGCTCAGAGCAAACTTCCACATCTTCATTGGCGCTCAAAGCAAACTTCCACATCTTCTGGCCTCTCCTCCACCCACCACAGATCCCACCTACAGTTCCTGGTTCTCGTCTGATTATTGTGTTCTGACGTGGTTCCTCAACAGCACGGAACCATAGATTAGTAGCAGTGTTATATTCTTAACCACTGCGAAGGAGATGTAAGACAGCCTGAAGATTATGTACGGGAGTGAGAAGAATGCTTCCCGTGTATTTGAGATTTATAAGCGACTGTTTGTGCTCAAACAGGGAGATAGATCAGTTCCGGAGTTCGTTGGTGAGTTAAAGGGACTGATAGACGAACTGGAGATGCATCAGCCTGCAGTAGCTGATGCGGCGACGCTGTTGGGATATTGTCGTGACTTGGCAATGTCTAAGTTTTTTTCTGGATTGCACCCTACCTTACAGTCTCAAGTGAGAGGACAGATATTGGGTGGAGATATCATCCCCTCACTGATTGCTACATTCTCTAGTCATACAGGTTTCTACTGATGTTTCTTCTGATACTTCTGTACCGTCTCCACCTTCAGTGGATCAGTCTGCCATGTTCTTTAGTAGAGACAGAGGCCGCGACCGCGGTCATGGTCGTGATTCTGTAGGAGGACGTGGCTCTTTTAGTGGGAGACAGGGTGATTCTGATAGGGGTTCACGTCAGTGTGATCACTGTGGGAGGACTAATCATATTTCTGAGAAGTGTTGGGAGAAGTTTGGTTGTTCTCAATGGGCCCAAGTAGCCGATGCCAAGTCGACTCGCTCACCTATTTTTACTACTACTTCTAGTAATCCAGCTGCTACTGGTCCTACTGTTCAGATCTCTCAGGCAGATTATGAGAGGTTACGTCAACTAGAGCTCTCTCAGAACAGTCATTCGGCTACCATGCATCCTCTTCAGGTATGGATGCTTACATAGCTTCTCATGAACCATGAGTACTAGATTCTGGAACCTCATCTCATATGACAGGTATAAATGATCGTTTTGTCTCTTTACATCTTTCTGATAAGTTTTCCTCTATTCGCATCGCTGATGGTACACTTTCTCTTTACATCTTTCTGATAAGTTTTCCTCTATTCGCATCGCTGATGGTACACTTTCTCCAGTTCTTGGTGCTGGAGTAGTTCATGCTACTTCCTCTATTCGCATCGCTGATGGTACACTTTCTCCAGTTCTTGGTGCTGGAGTAGTTCATGCTACTTCCTCTTTAAAACTCACTGATGTGTTATATGCTCCTAAATTCTCTATTAGCTTATTATCCATTAGCAAGTTTACAAAGCACAATAACTGTAAAGTCACATTCTTTTCTTCTTATTGTGTTTTTTAGGACCTAACAATTGGGATGACGATTGGTTCGGGGCATGAGAGAGGAGGTATGTACTATTTGGACGACAGTGTGCTGGGTGCTAGTCTTGTTGCAACACAACCTGATTCTACCTTCCTGTGGCACTGACGTCTGGGTCATCCTTCACTACAGAAACTTAGATCGGTTGTAACTGTTCAGTCTTCTCTTTCTTGTTTAGGTTGTGAGTCATGTGAACTGGGTAAGCACCATCGTGCTTTTTTTAGAGTCGTGTCGATAAACGCAGTAGTTTTGCGTTTGAGTTAGTTCATTCTAATGTCTGGGGTCCTTGTCGTGTTCCCTATGTGAAGGGTTTTCGATATTTCATTGTTTTTGTTGATTTTTCTCGCATGACTTGGCTATATTTGTTGAAAGAGATGTCTGAAGTCTCGCATGTTATTGAACTTTTTTATAATGAAATAAAAACCCAGTTCTCTACTTCTGTTCATATTCTTCGTACTGATAATGCTTTGGAATATATGAAAAATAACGTTTCAAAATTTTGTGCTCTTAATGGTATTATTCTCATGCTCTCACACTTCACAAAAAAAATAGAGTTGCTGAGAGGAAGCATAGACATATTCTCGATGTTGCTAGAAGTGATGATACATATGAATATTTTAAAGTACTTGTGGTCTGATGCTGTCCTCACTGCCTGTTATTTGATTAATCGAATGCCATCCTCTGTTCTTGATGGTTTGATACCATTCCACTGTCTTTATCTTGCTAAAAAATGTTTTTCTGTGATTCCTCGAGTTTTTAGTTGTATGTGTTTTGTTCAGGATTTGACTGCTGGTTTGGATAAATTATCTCCTAGGTCCATTAAGTGTGTGTTTATTGGATACTCACGTACTCAAAAAGGGTATAAGTGCTATCATCTAACCACCAGGAGATATTTTGTTTCTGCTGATGTTACCTTCTTTGAGTTTGTCCTATATTTTTCCTCTGGTTCCACTACTTCTGTCAGTCCACATGCACCACTACCTTCTACGGCTCCCACTACTATTACGGTATCTGCTCCTATGGCTACTGCACCAAAACCTCTACTGACATACTCTCACCGTCCTAAAGTACATACATCTGTCTCTGCTCCTGCTGACTCTTCTTCTCCAGCTGCAGGTCCATCTCATATCGAGCCTCATATCTCTTTTGACTTAGATGTTCCTATTACTCTTCGTAAAGGTAAACGGTCTTGCCCAAAATATCCTATCTCTATTTTTGTCTCTTATGACCGTCTCACCCCATCCTTTCATCAGTTTGCTTTGTCATTGTCCACTATATATTTACCCAAGTCACATGAGGAAGCTTTGTTAGTACCCATCTGGAAACAGGCTATGGATGAGGAGATGAATGCACTGCTTTCTAGAGGGATTTAGGATTTGGTCTTTCTACCTACTGGAGCGACTGTGGTTGGCTGCAGATGGGTGTATACCTTGAAATATCGTCCTGATGGGTCTGTTGATAGATATAAAGCTCGCCTGATTGCTAAAGGATATACCCAGACATATGGTATTGACTATTTTGAGACTTTTTCTCCTGTTACGCGTCTCAACTCCATTCGAATTCTCTTCTCTCTGACTGTTAATCTGGATTGGAAGATGTATCAACTAGATGTGAAGAATGCTTTTCTTTATGGTGATTTGGACGAGAAGGTTTATATGGAGCAACCTCCTGGGTATGTTGCTCATGGGGAGAATATCATGTGCAGACTTAGAAAGACCATCTATGGGTTAAAATAGAGTCCTCGAGCTTGGTTTGATAAATTCAGCAAGGTTATTTCTAGTGTTGGTTTCTAACGCTGCCATTCTGATCACTCTGTCTTTCTTCGACGTACAACAACTGGTTTAGTTATTTTAGCCGTTTATGTTGATGATATTCTGCTCACTGGGAGTGACTCTGTTACCTTAGTAGAGAGTAAGGAGTATCTAAACCGTTATTTTATCACTAAGGACATGAGAAAGCTAAAATATTTTCTTGGGATTAAAGTTGCATATCAAAGGCATGACTTGTTGTTGTCCCAAAGGAAGTATGTCCTGAAGAAGCAGGTCTCTCGGGATGCAAACCTTCAAATACTCCAATGGAGGCAAATATTGATTTGTAGCGTGATGATACCTCTCTACTAGATGATGTTGGACGATACAGGAGACTGATTGGTAAACTAATCTATTTGACAGTTACCAAACCTGATATTACCTTTGCAGTGGGTGTACTGAGTAGGTTTATGCATAAACCTAGAACAGTTCATTGGACAGCTGCTATGAAGATTTTGGCATATATCAAGAGTTACCCTGGTAAGGGATTGCTATATAAGAAGCATGGACATACTCACATTTTTGTTTTCTCTGATGCTGGCTATGCAGGAGATATGAGAGACCGAAAGTCAACCTCAGGATTCTGTACTTTTATTGGAGGTAATCTTGTCATTTGGAGAAGCAAGAAACAAGATGTAGTATCACGGTCTAGTGTAGAGGCCGAATATAGAGCAATGGCTCACACTGCTTGTGAGATGGTGTGGCTACGAAAGTTTATGACAGAACTTGGTTTTGTTTAACCTGGACTCATGCCTATGCATTATGATAACCAATCTGTCATTTACATTGCACAGAATCCTATATTTCATGAGAGGACAAAACATATTGAAGTTGACTGTAATTTTGTTAGAGATGCTTGGGAGAAGAAGATTGTGTGTCTCATATTCACTCCATCCTCACAACAACTTGCTGATATTCTTACCAAGGCTACTTCTTCAAAGGTGTTTTTTACTATATGTGACAAGCTAGGCATGGTGGATATTTATGCTTCAGCTTGAGGGGGAGTGTTAGATTAAGTCTATTGGGTATTGGGTTAATAGGCTGTGACCCGTTAACCATACTCTATTTGTATGACTATATATATCTCTCTAGTATCTGAATAAATTAATAAAGTTAGGGTTTTGCTCTCTCTATTATCTCTTTCTACAGTTACCATCTATTATCAAATGCCATGAGAACATTATATGCTTTTGCTACCCAGTCTGCAAACAACAAAGGCAGAAAATATTAGGATATAGATGACATGGGATTAAGGATTAAACTCAAGATCTACGAGGATTAATGTGCTTTCCTGTAAAGTTTAGTAGCTAAAAAGATTGAAGAATAAATTTTTCACAAGTGCCAACAGTTTTGTTAGAGAATGGTTGAAGCATTACATATACATAATGGAGAGTTATCCATGTACATCTGCGGAAAATGGAATATCATCAACTATGAGTAAGACATGTTGTTTTTACCATTTGTGGGAGTTCGGTGGTGTCTGGTGGGAAAGGTTTTAGATTAACAAAGCTCTTTTAATGCAAAAGAAGTGATGTGAGCCGATTCCGTTAAATAACAAATAAAATTTTACTCATATAGTTGAATTTAAATCATCTTAAACTTTGTAGCTAATCTCTATTATATACTAATAGATTTATCTAGCAGCATTTTATATGGTAACTGAGAGGAGGTAGTCCCACCTGAGGTATTAAAAAATAAAATGAACCAGGCTTCTGCTCCACAAAACTTGGCATCCTACCGTAGCTCATACCTACGAATCCATAAGCCCTTATCAGGTGTGAATCAATTGAAAGATATCTGCAGAAGAATCAATAATCCGCAGCATATTTTCAGCTATGCAATTTGGTACCATTTACTTTATCTGAAAATATGACATGGACATGTATATATTCAATATGTTTATCCCAAAAGTAAAGAAACATAGGTTTAGACAACCAACATGTATTTTTTACTCCCATGTTATGTTCATCACCATTTAATCAAAGATGACTAGGAAATTAGGTTATCATGTTTTACTTTAACAAAGTAATTCCAGCCCTTTAATCTGGAAAAAACCAGGAAAGCGAAGACACCTAGAAAAATTAGATGAGAAGATAGTTCAAACATCCAGCACATTAGGAAGTGAAGATTCATAGCAACGTTTTTTTATCAGTACTCTGTCAAGATGTTCACTTCAATGAATGTTGTTCTGACTATGAGTGCTACCAAAACTACGCCTTAAGACTCTGTTACTAGGGACATAGCTATCAGATCTACTGGTAGTGCTGTAGCCATAGCCTTAGTTCTGTCTCTGCATGATACATTGATGGATAAGTATGCAATCTATAACTACTCTGAAGCTTTGGTCAGGTAAAACAAGCAAATAAATATAATATATGAAGGCAAAAGTCACCACATGAACAAAAGGTTTTAAGAATTAAAACAAATGAAGTATGCTGTTATTCAAACATGTGAAAGAAGATTCCAATTTAACCAAGACATTCCACCAGAATCGAGTGATCTTGAAATCCAGAAGATCTCTAAAGAAGATCTAAATTCTTATGTCTTGGGGAGCCTTTAAAGGTTTCATAATAAATGTTTAGTTAAGGTAATGTTCCTCATATCCTCCTTTTTTCAGTAAAAATTTGGGTAATTTCACAATCTTTTCTTCATAGTAATGGAGAGGTGAGATGAGATGCAGCTAGGGTGTGCAGAACCTATAGAGTAGCCATCAACCCTCCTCAAAATCGAAACTTTCAGAAGGACTGCAAAGTAGGGGAAAAGAGAATAAAACAACATGAAGAACCAATAAGGTGCCCTCCTGCAATTCCCTTTAGGAGGAGGCAAGCAGGGTTCTGTCTATAGCTACAATGAAGAGGCAATTGTAGCTATTTAGCAGGCCAAACAAGAGTCAAGGTTGTTATTTGTTCTGAGATGAGATTGTTGATGAGATGAAACAGGAAAGTGCAGTTTATGAATGATTATAACTGATTTATGAATGATTATATATATGATTATAACTGATCAATCATTGCATAAGATTGATGCAAAGAGAAAAGAGATGGAACATTTTCACATGGCTTATTCTCAGGAAGGAAGCCCTTCGTCTACTATAGGAAAGCGTGCAAATTGAGAATGTTGAATCTCAGAATAACTTGGATATCCCATCATAAGAGAAAAGGTTCTCCCCACGCATAAGACTGTTGGTTCTGGTAAAGTTTTGAACATTGTAATTGAATCGCTTTAGAAGGCATGAAATGACAATGGGCAGTAACATGTACTAAACATAATCACCTTGCCATCAAGTAGCACCCTTCCGCCGAAGAGCCATGAAAGTAGATTGCTGCCCCAATTCCAGAAACTTTCCAGTTCCCATTATCCAAAACTCCCTCATCAATCTGTTTTCCTACGAAATGGAACTGAGGAAACACATTCGAAAACTTCTGTTGACAGTAAAGCCAATCCAGTGCTTTAACGCTAGGAGGCACAGCAACCTGCAGCATTGTTATCCTTATATATATATTTTAAAAAAGAGTGAAAAATCTTTTTTTTAAAGGATCTTGACTCAAAGCACCATCATTGATTCATGATACCTGATATCTCAGCACACCGCTGTTCGAGCAAGGAGGATCAAGTTTCAACTTCTCGACCGCCTCCCTCAATTTCCCAACTCCGTGCTTCAGCGTCAATGCAGGAGGCAGAGTTCGAGTAAAAGAGAGCTCCACCGGTAAAACGAACTCGTCTTCCCCGTGCAAATCATCCACATCGACCCCCAATCCACCGATGCGATCATCATCGCCATTCTCAGCGTACGCCTTCAAACTAGGGTTTCTTTTGACGCGGAGAAGATTTGAGGCGAGAAGAGCGAGGTTACTACGAGCGCGCCAAGGTTTTGATGACGGAGGTTTCCTTAAGGTTTGGCGATGGTGGAGGAATTGGAATTGAGGGAAGGGGGACGGGAGATTTGAGGGTTTAGGGTTTTGCAAGAAATTGGTTGATAGCATTTTTGCTCTGAGAGTGTGAAGAGAGAGGGAACAGAGTGAGATGAAGATGAAGAGATGAGGTTTAAGTCGTTGGCGGTGAGGAGATAAGGTTACCGTTGTCTTTGGAAACGTGCGTTTTCGGGTCGGTTACAATTTGCGAAGTGGATAAAGACCCGATAGCTCATTACACCCGTAGAAGAATTTTCAAAATAGCCCCAACCTAATTTTTTTTTAAAAACGACCCTCTTTCGTTTTTATTACAGAAATAGACTCACCTTCTGGCCACGTCAGCACCGTGGCCAGAAAGTGGGTCTTTTTTTTAAACGTCTTCCTAATTAGTCGGGGTTGCCAACCCCGACTAATTTGGATCCCAGTTGCAATTTGTCAACCAAATTAATCGGGGTTCGAAACCCCGACTAATTTAGCCCACGTTTAAAATGGTCAGGGTTGGGAACCCCCACCATTTCGAACCCAACCCCGACCATTTAGCAAAGACTTTTGCTAAGTTTCAAAAGGGTTGGGAATTGGCAAAGACAAAATAGTCGTTGTGCACGAAATGGTCGGGGTTCACAACCCAAACTATTTTGCAGAGATCTTCCAGCCCACATCCTGGAAAATCATACTCCTGTTAATACATATCAATCTACCAACTCTTGGTACACATTTATCAATCCACAATGTAATCACAAACACAAATAGCACACATACCAATCTATAATCACAAGCATTCATTTCACTTACTAAAAATCCATATTCAATCGGATACATACCGTGCAATTCACTTACTAATAATCCATACTCAATAGGATACGTAACATTCAGTTTCAAACACAAACATCCTATCAAGTATATCAAAACTTAACAAATATTTATAACTCCCTTTCCTTTCCCTCTCCCTCTCCCTCTCCCTCTCCCTCTTCTTCCTCTCCCCCTTCCCCGTTCACCTTCGACGTGAGCTCGGATGATATCCTCGTCCGGTTATGTGTGAAGTTGGGAGCGCATGACATCCTCATCGACTCGAACCTGCTGTGAACATCCGGCTTGAGCTTGCTATGAGTCGTCAACTTCATCATGTGCACGGCTTAAGCCTGCTCACGTGTGTTCTCGGAACCGTCAAGGCTCGTACCCTATGAGGCGTTCCTCATGTCCATCACGTCTCGTATTACGCATCCTCTTCAGAGCGGACTGAATCCTTTTTATGATGCGAAGGAACGTGTTCCTCGCCCCCAGCTCGGTAGTCGTTCTTAATGCATCATGTGCCATATTAGCAACCTCATCGAGCTCTTATACCTATAAGATAAAAAGCAAAAGAGATTAGCAAGTGTATGATAATAAAATAATAATCACAAAATAATTATATATTTTGTCTATACACTTATCAACTCTCTCTCTCAACTGGACCTCGTAGTATGTACTCCTTGGGGGCGTTGTTCTCCCGAAATATCCATCGGGGAGTAATCCCCCAACACCACCACAAGTACACATCTAGGTCAGGTGTGTCAGCCCTCTCCATCACTACCTGTTCCTCCCATAACTCTCACCTCTGGATGTAAGTATGGTGAATTAATTCCCAATTTGCATAATGTGCACCTTTTCTGGGATTTCGCTCTATTCTCTCCACAGGGTCCGAAACATGTTGTTGTAGTCCAAATTGTTGAAGCACACGGTCGGGTACGTGCATCTCGACAATCTCAAAATATATGATCAGGATGCGAGCACGCCATACATCCTCACCTTCCCTACAAATATCTGGTAGTGACTCCAAAGCTTCATAGGCATCCACTTGACCTATAAAAAGATAAAGTAAATTTACATATCAGTAATAAATGATGTATTGATTGAATATATTTAGATATTATGATTTAATACATGTCATCCTCCATTTGATCAAGCTCGTTCATGTAGAAGTTTTCATGGCCCTTTGATGAGATTTGCTAAGATATGGACACATTCCATCTATTTTATATACAATGGGTTAGTATAACATTGAAATAAATGTATAAAATTATATGTAATCATATCTATTATAAAATAACTTAGTAATACCTACATCCTAACGAAATATGGTCATCCAGAGCACGGGTCTCCCTCAAATCTGGGCATCCCAAATGCAATCTCTCCCATGACTATATCCGCAGCAAAGTGAGGCAACCTTTGAATTCTTTGGTCTGCATGAGTGCCACTTTGGTCATCTCCCTATACAGATAAGCTAACACGACACTCCCCCATGATAACCCTCCACACTCCTCAAGATGCTTCAGGAGTGACAACCATTTCACGTGCACCGAATCCTTAGTAGAATCTGGAAATAGAATAGTACCGATCATATCAAGATATTGTGGTAGTGTCATGTAAGACTTCTCCTAATCACCAAATATTTTTCTCATAGCAATTCTTCTTGCATTCCACGCTTTACTATATGATATTTCAATGAACTTTGTATGTAACACTCTATCAATTATATTATCGGGCCTTAGTTCAAGTTGCTTCTTTAATTTTGGCATAATCAACCGCGCTATGTAAGAGGCGGAAGCACCACTGTGATCTTACTCGAACATTGGATTGCTACATGTGTGAACACCGTAATATTTTGTGATCCTAAAATACCCATTATATTTCTTTCTGGCTAATGCATATAACTTCCAAGGACATGAGTAATCAACTTCATTTCCCTTGGCTCGACCTTTCCTTTGTGTATTCATAAAACAAATTGCCTCATTACTTATGCAATTGCTTTTAATAGTCTTGAATTTGACAAACTTTTGGATTGAGTAATCACGAATAGCATCAACCAATTAATCCTTAGTCTCGAATAGATCACTAACTCTGAAACATACGTCATCATCTCCTCTATGATTGAATTTTCGCCAATGCGCATATCTTGTACTTTGGAAGAACAAATCCACTCATCATCATCAAACTCGTCGGGAGGTAGTTCCTCGAACTCAACATAATCATTATTAACATATGCTTCATCAGACCAATCCGGATTCTCTTCATCATCTCCACTCACAAATTGTATGCTATCAATTGGTGCACTATGTTCATCTTTACCTTCAGAGGCGTTGATTCCTTCATCCTCTTCAACTATTACCCCTCTTAACGGCCTCATATTTTCATAAAGGACTTCATTATTCATGACATTTGATGTTCTACCGAATGAATATGCACCACTGTGATATTGAAATTGAGTCCGTTCCATTTCACTTGAAGAAGAAAGAAAACCATCAGACTCAACTCCCAAAGCTAACATACGTGATAATTCTCCTAGAGGGTTGAATATTTGGCACGAACTATGTGGTAACTTTTCAATAAACAATTCTACAGTTGGTTGCGACTTGCTCAAATTAAATATAATACTTATATGATAATCGTTTGAGATCTTAAGTGTAGAAATTCTATCAAAAGTTATGGGCCAATTGCATATTATTTTTAGTCAGTACTCTCGTGGGTCAATTGCCGTAACTCGGTGTAATTCATTAACCAAGTCGTCGTAACTATATGATTCCGATATCATTAACAACATCGTTACCCCTCCGACGTACGTTGGCATATTATTCATTCTATAATTAATTTTCCCACCATAAGAGCAAGCAATAAAAATCATATTGTTCAACCTATGTAAAAGAAAATTATATCATTTAAATATAAAAATTTAAAAATTATTATCAATTACAACCCTAACCCTAACTCAAATTACAACCCTAAACGCCCAAATCCTAAACCCTAGAATTGAGCATTTTATGCCCTAAATGTTTAATTTCAACTACAAAAAGAATAAATTTTCGAAATAAACCACTACAAATAGAGTTCAAACCCTAGAAATTCATTTTTGAGAGAAAACCCTAGATCTACATGTTAAAAGAGGAGAGAAGGAAGAGAAATTACCTTATAGATCTTTCACGATGAAATTAGGCTGACAAATGGGGTTAAAATCAGAGATCTAGGGTTTGGGGAGGAAGAGTGACGATTTTGAGGAGAATGAGGTGGCTGTGAACGAATGGTAGAGGGGGAGAAGAGTTTAGGGGGTTTATATAGGGGGTAGGGGCCTAACACAAAATAGTTGGGGTAGCCAACCCCAACTATTTTGTGCCTTAGCGACTTTTCAACTAGTCGACGGAGTGGGCAAAAGGCTGCTAAATGGTCGGGTTTAGGAACCCCGACCATTTTGAATTTGGATTTCGAAATGGTCGGGGTTCCCAACCCCGACCATTTTAAACGTGGGCTAAATTAGTTAGGGTTCCGAACCCCGAATAATTTGGCTAGCAAATTACAACTACGGTCCAAATTAGTCAGGGTTAGCAACCCTGACTAATTAGGAAGACGTTTAAAACAAATAGACCCACTTTCTGGCCACGGTGCTGACATGACCAGAAAGTGAGTCTATTTCTGTAATAAAAACGAAAGAGGGTCGATTTCTTTTTTAAAAAATGGTTTAGGGCTATTTTGAAATTTCTTCCGTAGTAATATTAAAAACTTATCTAAGGCTAGAAAGTTTGAAGGACATGGGAAAATTATCCTTTATTTTTTTTAAAAAAATAAGAATAATTTGATTATTTTACATAAAATTTAAATTGTATTTTTAAGGACATGCTTTTTGATTTTTTTTCCTTTCTTTTTTTAATTCTAGAATATTCTAAAGCATGATATGATATAGAATTAAAGCTCAAAAATTATATATCTATCACAATGTGTGCTATAAGAGATAGAACTGTTGAATTATAAATTTATATCTAAGAAAAAACTATTAGATATAAGTAAATAAAATGCAAAAGAATATTGGAATTTTACTATATTTTAATGTAAATAATATCAAAAGTTTAAATACATCTATATACTTAGCTTAAAAAAAACTAAATTAATAATTTGAAAATGAAAGATGAAAAGACTACTTGTCGACATGATCTAAAGAGCTTTTAGGACAATTATTTTGAAGATGATACACACTATTTTTTTTTTCAAAATTTTTGTTGACATTGTTGCAAGTGCCCCGTAATGTTAGTATGGATAACCCAAATCATATTTCGATAAACAATTCTAAAAATGTCCATTTTATTAATGCATTTATTTTTGA